CCACCCCCCGCCCCCCCCCAGCCTGTCCCCATGGCAGAGGGGCTCCAGCCCTCGGAGCATCTCTGTGGCCTCCTCTGGACTCACTCCAACAGCTCCATGTCCTTCTGATGTTGGGGACCCCAGAGCTGGAGGCAGACCTTTTATATGCATGTAAAATCTTTTCTTGTTTTTCTCTTTTTTTCCTTTGTGAAAACTGTTTCAGAGTATAAGCCAAAAGTCTGTGTGTTTTTCTGACATGAGGGGATGGCTTGTTTCTTACAATAACTGTTCCTCATCTGATTATTACACAGGTGTCCACTGTGGGGTTCAGTGGATGTTACTTTCACACTTCCAGTGCACTAACACTCATGTCTGATGTGGTGTGGCAGCCTCCTTTGTTTGCCTGGTATCCAAAGTATCTGGGTTTTTTTCAAACCTCTGTGTGGAAAGGAAATATTTCTGGAATCTTCCAGCTTTTCTTTCTGGCCATTAATTCTGCATACCTTCCCTGCCTAAGGCATTGCTGTATCCTGTATTTATTTCTCTTAAACTGCGTGTGTTCACATTGCCTATGTTTACAGAGCAGCTTGTGAATTTAGGATGTTGTCCAGGAGAGGCTGACTTGCTGATCTTCTGTTTCTTAGATTCTGCACATCTGATCAATTCTTGCTCCTGCTGCAGGTGTGTTCATTGTTGCGGCAAAGCGAACTCCTTTTGGGACCTATGGGGGTTTGCTGAAGGACTTCACAGCCACTGATCTGACAGAACATGCTGCCCGAGCTGCGCTGGCTGCTGGCAAGGTCTCTCCCGAGGTCATTGACAGCGTCGTTGTCGGCAGCGTGATGCAGGTTGGTAGCACGGAAAACTTCACCGGCCACTGATTATTTCAGTCATCCCCTTTGGTATGTGCCTATAGATAGTTACCTCTGCTCTGCAGCCAAGAATAAACCCAAGGGGGTGGAAAGGGAATGGGTAAGTTGCCTATCTAGTGTAGTGTTTCCTTGTCTGTTCGTGTTTAAGGGACATACCCCGTCTGATTTGTGACATTATTGGGAGCAAGGCCTAGCTTTCTTTTTTAGTACCAAAGGTGGTTTAAACTAGGAACACCTGATCTTGTAAAAAATGTGGATTCATTAAATGGCTAGTTACTAATCCGTGGTATGCTTTTCCTATCTTAATGACTCAAGCTGCATAGCTCAGTGATCAGTGAGTTTTCACTAAATTGTATAAATTCCTTATTTTTGTGGCGATTGGAACTGATTTGAATCCATTTCCCTTGAGTTTTCTATTGAATTTTTTTGAGTGAACCTGAGTTTTCTTTGAGCTGGAAGGATACATGCCTGGATTGGCAGAGACATTTGGACAATCATATTTTTTTCTGAAGAGCTTGTGATGTCGACGCTTTTGTATGCAGGACACTGGCACTGCAAAATTGCAGTTATCCACAAAGCTAGATTAGGGTCTTTGAGGCAAGACAGCAAAGAGCCTTTCTGGTTTTGATTTGTTTTGGATTCTGACTTCACCATTAGAAAGGGTAGGCACTCTTATCTTGCCTTGAGTGTCTCAAGGGTGCAGGAGAATCAAATACCCGAGATCTGTCACAATAGGTGGACAAATGTGCAGTAACCATTTTCAGCCAAATGGGTAGCTTTTGATTATTCTGTCTCCTACAGCTACTATCTCAGCTTCTTTTATTCATTTTTTTAGGTTTTGTAAGAACTGTTTGTGGCCTAGGAAAAACTGCATCCACATCTCATGTAATGCTTTCATTACATTTCAATCCCAATAGATTTTCTCTTTTTTTTTTTTTTTTTTTTAGTCCTGGATTCTTTTTAAATATTATTCAAATAAGTTTAAATAACTATGAATATATGAGCATTTTAAACTCCCCTTTTTTCAGCAGAAGTAGCTTGGTTCAATTTTTTTTTCCCCTGAACTTGCACTGGCAAGTAGTATTGTGCAGAGAACCTTGCACTGATAATGCATATTAGCTTAGGGCATGATCCTCAAGAGTGTAAATATTTTCTCTGTTTGGAAGAGATCCATTACAAACCTATAGCAGTGCTGCTACAATTTTCTGTTCTGTACCAGTCCTCGCCATCATCTGCTGACTCAGTAGTTGAGATGCAGAAGCCTAATGGTTTTGGGTTGGAAGGGACCTTAAAGATCATCTAGCTTTAAAGAAGTGGGTTCTGGAGCAAACCGTTCTGTGTATGGCACTTTGCTTCTCAGGTAGGAATGTGAGAGAACCATCTCTGAAAAGCTTTAGAGGAATGAAATTTCATCGTAGAACAGGCCAGTGTTCAATTAGAATGTCACTGTTAGGAAATTTTGCAAAGTGGATGTGACGCAGCAATGGAATCTCTGCATTTTCCACACTGTCTGTTTTTTGGGGGGCCTTTCCCTGCTAGTGTAACAATTTTAATGTACCCTGAAATTATTGCTGCTTGCCAGTCTGGGTTTGGTCGTATGTCAGTCTGGTGTGTATATGCCCTTTTGGAAATAAGGGATAAGTTGCTGACTTCATTCTTAACATCTGTAGTCCCATTTTTAGCCCGATGTCTAGCTTTTATGACACACAGTTTCTTTACAATGCATGTTAAGACATAGGCCCTTTTTGATCATATAGGATGGTGTCTTTTCAAGTGAATCAAGGTGCTTCTTCATAGGATGTGTTGAACATACACTCTCTTCTACCAGTGAAACAGTGACACCCTTCTGACTTTTCATCAAGTCTTTTACTTTCCAGAGAAATTAAATTGTAACAAGGCCTCCTGTGTGTTCTGTCCGCAGAGCTCCGCAGATGCAATTTATATCGCAAGACATGTTGGTTTACGTGTGGGAGTTCCGGTCCCAGTTCCAGCCCTCACTGTCAACAGACTTTGCGGCTCTGGTTTCCAGTCCATTGCCAGCGGATGTCAGGTACCAGGCGCTGTGTTTTGGTATGAGTTGTAACCTTTATCAGTGTCTTTCATTATGTGTCTCTTCCTCTTTTTGGCAAGGAACGATTTGGCAAGGAATGTATTAGTTGTAACCTTTATCAGACTCAGAGTGAGGGAAGAGACAAGTGTGTTTGGGATGAGTCTCAACATGGATTTTTAGCTACCACTGGTAGAGACTTTTCACTGTCCTGGATCATTTTCTGAAGGAATTCAGCCTCCACATGCAATGCAGCTGATGTTTCTGTATTTCTGTGGGACACAGCAAAGCTGCAGCTTCTATTCTGAGCTCCTTAAACGTGCACAAAGTTGATTGGTAACTACAGGAAGTATCTCAGCACATGTCACAACGCATCGATCATGCCAGTCGTTAACTAGTCATCTCAAATGCTTGTCAAGATAATTTCATCTGCTTCCATAACCTTAACTGTCCAACTGAGTGAAACATTTTAAGGAAGCAGAATTTTTGAATGGGTCTGATGGTGTGTTCAGGAGTTAAGGGTTGTATGTTGTGTGTGCTTTGCCAATGATGATTTAATGCATTTCGGGGTTTTTTTTTTTGGCAGCTTACCTGAATAATGTTTTCTAAAATGATATCCCATATTTTTAGAATCCTCAGGTCTAGTTTCAGGCTTTGAGGTTTAATTTGTGTACTTTCTGAGAATACTGGGAGCTCAAATAAAAAAAGCTCATCCATCTGTGAAGCTAACCACACAAGCATGTAGATGCTTAATGGCTTTGTTCCTCCATCCTGTCATATGTGTGCACCCATATTCTCTTCCTCCCTCATTGATGTAATCATTCCTTGCCAAAAAGAGGAAGGAACATGTAATGAAAGACACAGACCCTAATCTTAATGGAAGGCTAAACGCTTCATAAATATACACATGGCTAAGCATGAATTCATTCTCCGTGTGTGGCCTTGTAGGTGAGGAGGGTTTTTTCTAAAACAGTTGTTACGGATTTAGGATTTAGTTTGCTGGTTTTATAACACAGTTCTGTTTTTCACTTAACAGGAAATTTGCCTTAATGACTCAGAAGTTGTTCTCTGTGGTGGAGCTGAAAATATGAGCCAGGCTCCTTATGCAGTTCGAAACATTCGATTTGGAACCCGATTAGGAGCAGAACTCAAGGTCTGGTGCTTTTTTTACCTTTTTTTTTTCCCCTCTGAATAGAGTCATGTTTACAGAGCAACATAACGTATCAGGTCTGTAGACCTATACCCTTGCAAATGAAATTATGGGAGATTAGGTCCAGTTTTAGTTGTTCAAAGCATTTATCCAGTATTGAGACATTATCAAAATGGTAGGTTCAGGCAATTTTGTTAAGCACGCCAGTTTTTCTAGCTTTTCCAAAACTATATTTGAATTCCTGTTTCGTGCTAAACATATCAGTGAACTATTAAACACAAAACTTAATTGACTTGGTATGTCCCGTCAAAGTGCAGTTTATAATATAAAAACTTGTCAGAGGCTGTGAAATAGAGGCATGCACAGTTTATGTAAAGCTAGGAAGGCTGGCAGTGGACAGATAGGCTGGTAAGGAACATGTAAACCCCCAAGCTGTAAGCATCTCTCAATTTTAAAAATGGAAACTTGAAGTTAAATCCATTGAGAGGTAAGTTATTTTTATATTTTCTTCTGAAGATAAATCCTTAGTGCATACTGTGGGAAATTTGCAGCAGGATCCAGTTCTGCTCTGATAATTATCATTTACTCAGTGGGTCATCACCAACATCAACGTGCTAAATGGGAATATTTCAGTGTCCCAGCCCTTTGTTTTTTCTATGCTGTTTTTCCATTATGAAGGTGTTGAGTATGAACTATTCTTGACTGTCTTCTGTGAGTCTTGTATAGCTCTGTGTCTAAGCCTCAGTTCCTACAGAGAACACCTTCACAAGGTCGCTGATACACTGAGTCTCCGTAGGTGCCACTGGTCTTACGATGAAGATAATTTAATTATACAGTTGCAGGTGAATGAGTGATTGATCTTGCAGAACTTTGCTGGTGACAGAGGCATGACAAAACCCATCTGGACTGACTGGGCTTGCCTTTATCAGGTTAAGTGAAGTGAGACTTGGGTATGTCATGAAGCAGATCCTCCTGGAAACCATGGTGAGGGACATGGAGAATGAGGAGGGGATTGGTGACAGGCAATATGGCGTCACCAAGGGCAGATCCTGCCTGACAAATATGGTGGCTTCTACGATGGGGTCACGGCCTTGGTGGGTAAACGACGGGCAACTGATGTCATCTGCCTGGGATTGTGCAAAGCGTTCAACACTGTCCCACACAACATCCTTGTCTCTACATTGGAGAGGCACGGATTTGATGGATGGTGGATAAGGAACTGGCTCGGTTGATAAGGAACTGGCTGAATGGTCGTAGTCAGAGAGTAGTGGTCAACGGCTCCATGTCTGAGTCGAGAGCAGTAACGAGCAGAGTTCCTCAGGGGTTGGGA